CAGGAAGATCTCTAGGAGTTCGAGGCCAGCCTGGTCTACACTGTAAGTTTCAGGACAGCCAGGGCTACACAGAGGGGCCCTGTCTCAAACAAACAAAAAGGAAGGAAACTTTCTGTAAATTGTTCCATCTGTTATTGGAGGCAAAAATAACTGATATTTTGCCCCCTGCTCAAGGTCAAGAGCTGCAAATATTCATGTGACCCTCAAGCTGTCTTTTTTTTTTTTTTTTTTTTTTTTTTTTTTTTTGTATCAAGTAACTAATTGTTTTTCTTGAAACAAGGTCTTTCTCTATAGTCTGTGCTGGCCTTGAACTCATGATTCCCCCTACCTCTGCCTTCTGAGTGCTAAGATTAAAGGTGTATACCACCATGCCTGGTTTATGTTCTCAAATAGTTGGCCAAAAAAAAGAAAAAAAAGAAAATCAAATGGCGTATATTTCAAGACATGAAAATGTTTAGAAATTCAGGCTTCAGCACCTATAAATAGGTAACACAGCTGACTCCATTCTCTCATTGTCATGATTTCTGAAGCTGCTACAGTGGTTTGAGGTCAGGTGTCCCCCCAGAACTGGAGACATTCTGGCTCTGCCATCTCTGCATTAGACTTCTTTCAAAAGAGTCTTTGCAGAGGTAAACACCGAGAGGTGAAGTCATACTGGACTAAGGCAGGCCTTAAAATCAATGATTGACATCTTTTCCTCTCACCTAGGCCCTCATGCATGCTAGGCAAGTGCTCTGCCACCCAGCCACGTTCTAAGCCCTTTTCTGTAGTTTTCAGGTTTTGATAAGGTTCTCCCTAAATTGTCCATGCTGGCCTTGAATTCTCTGCAGCCCAGGCAGGCCTTGAACTTTAGGTCCTCTGGCTTCAATCACCCAAGTGGCTGGGCTCACAGGCCTATCACAGCCGGCATGGCTGATTTTGTTGTTTTTTGAGGTGAATTCTCGCTCTCCAGCCCAGGTTTGTCTGCTATCTCCTGGGTTGCCCAGTCTGGCTTCAAACTCTTGCTTTAGCTTCCCAAGAGCTGAAATTACAGATGTGAGCCACCATGCTGTGCCCAGCTTACAACTGACACATTTGAAAAACAAAGGAGAGAGAACTTTGGACACAGAGACACCCACAAACTCACAAGGCAGAGGTTGCTGTTATAGCCACAGGCTCAGGAACGCTAAGGACTTCCAGGAGAAAGTAGGAAAGGCTGTGTCCTGGGGCTTTCAGAGGAGGAAGAGCCTGACCAACCACGTGATTCTGCTACAGAAGCCTCTAGGGCTGTGAAGAGATTGATTTTTGTTTCCCTGAGACAGGATTTCACTGCGTAGCCCAGGGTGGCCCTAAGCTTATGGTCTTCCTGCATCAGCTTCCTGGGTGCCGGGATTACAGGTGGGAGGTGTCACCAAGCCTGGACGTTTCATGTTTAGGTTACTCTGTTTGTACTACTTCATTCCAGTGCTCCCAGGAAATGAACAGAGCTACCCTGGGGCCACTGCAGACCTGAGCAGGTGTGGGAGTCACAAAAAGCGTTCACCTGCCTCTGCTCGCAGTGCTGCCATTGTTTGGGTGGTAGGAGACAGTGTGCCACTATGTCTAATCGGCGGAAATTAATCACCTAGTCAGTGTCACGACCCTCCCTACTCTAGAGATGACATGCCCAGAGTGAAGTAAGGTTAAAATATGGGGAAGCCTCTGCTCTTCCCGCCCCTCTTCCCTCAGCACTGGGACTTTCTCTGGGGCAGCACCCATGCCACAGTGACCCCGTGTCCTGTTCCCAGGGCTGGGTACCCAGTGGGTTAACTGGAAATGCCACAGGTTGAGTGACTTAAACAATGGGGACTTCTCTGGGTTGGGAGGTGACGGATGGAGGCCTGCTGGGGTTGGGTTTCTGAGGGGGGCTGCTTTCCCGGCTCAAGATCTTCCCTTGGTGAGTTGTGTGCAGCCAGCTATCTGTGTCTCCTCCCAAGACCTCAGGTCCTATCAAATTAGGGTCCTATCTTTACAACCTCATTTAGCTTTAGTGGACTCCCCAAGGCCCTATCTCCGTGTGGTCATCTTGGGGGCTGGGCTTGAACATAGGATTTGGGAGCACAACCCAGGGGAGGACAATCAGTGTCTTTTCTTACCTGGTCACTTTTCACACATGACCTGACAGCATCCTGAGGCATGGCCTCGGTTACACCTTGTAAGAAAGCAAGACTCTTTTTTCTTCTGAACCCAGAAAAATGTGAGGCAGAAGGCTAGTCATTGGCAAATAGAGGTGAGCCGTCAGAACACAGCCCCTTAGGGGAATGCAGAGCTGAGGGAAAACAGACACACGTGGAATCACGGGGCCCAGATCTAGCTGAACCTAAAGGAGGACCACCTCGGACTCCCCCATTAATGACGGAACATGTTTTTCCTTAGACCATGTTTAGCTGTATTTCCATCCTTGTTAGCCAGTTTGTAATTTCTTAAGCAATACACATTCTGTGGACAGTCAGCCTCTTCATTCTTGCCATTGCCCAATAGACCCATGAACAAAGTGGCCATGGTGGTAGAGATGCCAGGCTATACATGAGCTCAGAAACACAGACTTCCCTCACCAAGGCTGACCTGGCTACAGATGTGGCTGAGTGCCAGGTCTGCCAACAGCAGTGACCAACGCTGAGCCTCAGACATGGTACCCCTCCCCCAGAGTGAAGGTATGGTCAGTCACTCCTCTAGGAAAACAGCGAAGACCTGCTGAAGTGCTTGCTGAGAGTGGAGGAAATTCAGAGATGGAAAGTAGAGGAAGGTAGTTACAAATACCAGCTAAGGTCAGGTGATCTGTGCAGAAACAAGGATTAAAACAGACATGAAAGTTTCTGTCACATTTTGTTAAGAATACGTTTGTGCGTGTAAACACATACATTAAGCAGATATTTGTGCTTTCTTCTAGTTCCCTAACATGTAATATATTGAGTTGACGTTAGTGATTATTGTTATATTTAAGTCATGAGACACCGAGAGAGTAAGCATTCCTCAAGGGGCTTACCACCTATTCTAAAATAGGGAAGGTGTTAGCGATTGTATGTAGCTAGTTACATCATGTTCAGCAAAATTATGACCTAGTTACTGTTTTCATTTGGAAATTAAACATGACATAAGGCGACATGACTGTGTGTCAGGCTGTCAAGTGGTGTGTCTGTGGTGGAAAATCTTGGTTGTCAGCCTGACTGCATCTGCAATCAACTAAAGCCCAAGCAGCTGGGCATGCCTGTGAGGGATTTTCTCAGTTAGATGATTTGAGGTGGGACTAGTCACCCTAAAGCTGGGCCTCAGGTTCTGGCGGCACCCCAAATCCAAAGGAAGAGACACGCTTTTTGTCCACTTTTGTCCTCACTCTTGCTGCAAGTTCATCCATTCTGCCGCTGAGGCATTTCTTCAGTGATGTTAGCACCAACTTCTCCAGCATTCCGGCAGAGACTAAAGACCAGAGGCTCCCTGGGAGAAATAGATCTGGAGGCGGGAGAGATGGCTCAGTGTCAATAAGACACTTGCCTCACAAGCATGAGGACCCTAGTTCCATCCCCAGAACCACGGGGGCGGGGGGGGGAGGAGGCAGGTTTGTTGGGATTGGACATCATGGCACTCACTTGAAACGGCAGCACTGAGGAGGTGGAAACCAGCAGATCCGGGAACTACTGGCCAGCAGAATCAGCAACCTCAGGTCCGGTGAGAGACCCTGACTCAAACACCAAGGTAGAGCTGAGGAATAGCACTGAAGACTGACTTATGGCCTTCACATATGGGTGTAAGCAAACACACACACACACACACACTAACGCCAGGAGGACCTTCTGTTTTGGTTTCAGACCATGGCTGGCCTCTCATATGCTCTAACTCACTTGCCCTCACTCTCCTCAAACAGCAGCAAAGTGTGATAAGTGGGAACAAACACACAAGACTGTTCAAATACATTCAGATCGTTTCTGGGAGTATCCACTTTGTGAAAAAGCACAGGCTTTCCAGGTTCCAGCAGACTCCTCACAAAGGACTCAGAAAAAAAAATGCCCAGAAGATGAGAAGGGACCTATGGACCTCTTCCCAGGGCACCCTGTCCTCTGCCTCCTCCAGACGTAAGCACTGGAGTTCAAAGCACAGTTCTGCAAAGTCTGTGTGACCTTCGGTGACTTTTGGAACCTGCTTGGGCTCTAGTTTCCCTATGAGGGAACCAGGAAAGATGATACTTATTAACAATATAGTACTAATGCCTTATCAGCATGTATGTGCATTTAAGGTGCAGAGTGACTGTGTACCATGTGATGAATGCAGGGGTAAGTCCTTTGCAAAACAAAACAGTTCTTTTATTAAAAAAAAAAAAAATTGTGTGTGTGTGTGTGTGCGCGCGCGCGCGTGTGCTAATGGGAGGAGGTCGGAGGATAACTTGTGGAGCATTTCTCTCCCTCTGTTATATAGATTTCAAAATCAAACTCAGGTGGCGCGACCAGGCATTAAGCCTGTCTCCAGCCCTGTAAAAACTCCCATTATCTTCTTGCTCCAGCTCTCCCGGGTCTCCGAGCCAAGGCTACCCACTCAGTCTATGGTGCTCTGGAGGAGCACCCTCTAAAGCTTCAACCGGTACTCCTTCATTCAGCTCCCTTTCAGAACATCTGCCGGTGGGCTCTTGTTTGTTTTTGAGACAGGGACTCCCTCTGTAGCCTAGACTGGCCTTGAACTCATGACCCCAGCCTCCCGAATAGAATACAGGCATGAGAGGCGGTCACCACCATCTTTCTGTTCGCAGCCGCCTTTTACAAGGCTGTGAGCTTGAGTGGCGGGCAGGAGAACCTCCTCCACGCTGTGGAGTGCATTCCCAGCCCTTGGGCTCCTTCCCTGGTGCTTAGTAGGTGCTCAACGAATGTGGGTTTGCAAGCCAGGCCGGCCGCAGACAGCCAGGGGCCACTTCCGCCCGCGCCTGCCACGCCGCCAGCGGGACTCGCTGGGGGTGGGGCCGGGCGGCGGGAGGGCCGGGCGGCGGGGCTGCGAGCCTCCCTCCGGCAACTTCCCAGTAACTGCGGGATCAGATGCAGCCACCGCCCCGGAACCAGGCCTCCCCTCTTCTGCCTTCCAGGAGGGGGCCCAGGAGCAGCCCTCGGGAGGACAGTCTCCCGCGCGTCCCCGAGTCCCTTTGGCCACCCGGAGTCGTCGATCCAGGCGGAGGAGGCCGGGAGGGGGCCGCCCTCCCCGCGAGGCTCCAGACTCCGGCATTTCCTCCCCCCGCTGCCCGGCGCGGCCTTTCCCTCCGAAAGAAGAAAATCCCCGGGGCCGGAGTAACACAGCCGCTCGGCCCTCGTGCTGAGCCGCGGCGGAGCCGAGAGGGCCGCCCAGGGTAGGGTAGGAGTCCGGGGCAGAAGCTGGCCGAGGGCGGCGCGGCTGGGACCGAGCGGGCCAGCGCCAGGGCGCGGCCAGGGGCCGGGGCGAGCAGCGCGGGCGGCGCCTGCAAGGGGAACTTGAGCTGGGAGAGGAGGCAGAGCAGCGGGGCTGCTGGCTCCGGCGCGGCGGCGAGCGGGAAGCCTCCTCCAAGGCCAAGGACACGGGGGCCTCGGGGCCACCGAGGCGCTGCGCGCATGCTGGGCAGGGGACACCACCCGGGCTCCCGCCCTGGGCCGCCCGGGCTCCCGGGATGTCCGTGCGCTACACGCTCAACCTGCGGGTCTTCTGGCCCCTGGTGACCGGGCTGTGCACGGCCCTGCTGTGCCTCTACCATGCCCTGCGCAGCAGCAGCAAGGGTGCCCAGGCCGAGCCCCCCGACGGCCCAGACGGCGGCTTCCCGCTGCTCAAGGTGGCCATCCTTCTGCTCCTCGGCTACATCCTCCTCCGATGTCGCCACGCCATCCGCCAGCGCCTCTTGCCAGGCTCTTCCCGCCCAGGTGGTCACGCCAGCTTCCCAGCCAGACCCTTGCAGGAGCCAGGCCTGGGCATCTTGCTGGAGAGTTACTATGAGCACGAGGTGCGCCTGTCGCCGCACGTGCTGGGCCACAGCAAGGCGCACGTGAGCCGGATCGTGGGTGAACTGGTGCAGGCCGGCCGGGCCCGGGGGTCTCCGGGCCCCATCACCGGGGGGGCGCTGGCCTTGGCCTTCCGGGGAGATTTCATCCAGGTGGGCAGTGCCTACGAGCAGCACAAAATCCGCCGGCCCGACAGCTTCGACGTGCTGGTGCCGCTGCGCCTGCCGCCGCAGGTGGCGCTGGAGCCCCGGAGCCTGGGGACCGAACCCGCGTTGAGCCCGGCCTCCCGCTGCTGCTTCGTGTGCGCCCTCAAGGCGCCGCCGTCGCCGTCGGGGACCTCGGCGAGCCAGTGGCATCGCGACTGCAGGCCCTTCGCCGAAGGCTTCTGTGTGGACGTGCAGGGCCGGCGCCACCTCTCGGCGACCCTGGTGCTGCGCTGGTTCCAGGCGCACCTCCAGCGCTCCCTGGCCACGGTGCGCTACAGTCTGGAGGGTCGCTGTCGGGTCAGCCTGACCCCGGGCGGCCTGGAGCAGCCCCCCACCCTCCACATCCTCCCCTGCCGCACGGACTACGGCTGCTGTCGCCTCTCCATGGCCGTGCGCCTCATCCCCGCTGTCCATCTGGGCGACGGCGTCTTCCTGGTGGCCCCGCCGCCGCCGCCCTCGCCCAGCGGCGCCCTGGCGGAGCTCCCGGGTGGCTTGCGCGCCGAGGCACTGTGGGGCGTGAACACGGCGCGCCAAGAGCAGAAACTGCTGGGCTGGCTTCAGGAACGGGCGCCTCCAGGTGCCTGCTACCTCAAGTGCCTGCAGCTGCTTAAGGCTCTTCGAGACTTGGGTACCCGCGGGCTGGACCCGGCGGCTGCTGCCCGCTGGGGCCGCATCATGTCCTCCTACGTGCTCAAGACGGTGCTGCTGGCGGTGCTTTTGAAAGAGGGCGGCCCAGCGCCCGGCTGGGACGAGGCCCACGTGTGTGAGTGCTTGGAGAAGCTGGTCAAGTTCCTTAGGGACTGCCTGCTGCGGCGCCGAGACCTCTTCCACTGTGTCTTAGGCCCGGGCGGGGCGGCTGCCGAGGTGGGTCCCCTGCCCAAGGTGCTGCGTGAGGCCCCTCCACTTGACCTCCTGGCACCTTTTGACCTGCACTCCCGGGAGCTTGTCGCGGCGCGGTTGCTGTCCACCTGGCGAAGGTTGCCCCAGCTTCTCCGGGTCTACGGGGGTCCCCGATACCTTGCCCGGTGCCCCTCACCCCGGGGTCAACACAACCCAGGCTTCCCCGAAGATGAACCATGAACCCCGAATTACACCCCGCCTGATCAAATGCCCCTTTCCCACAGGGTGGGAGTGAGGGTGGCAAGTTAGATTTGAAATGAGCTGTACGAGGTGTTTCATAACTTGGAGGATGTCATGGGCTTTGGTGGCACAAATGTTCTGTCCTAGGCTCCGTGATCTGAGATAGCTGTGGCATCTTCATTAGAGTATCCTGGATGGGCTTCTGCACAGCCATCGCTCTGCTCCCAGATTATTAGAAGCAATCATTTTAAATTTTATTTTATTATTATTTTTTAGAATCCATTTCCACAACTGGAATTGAAATTCTAGTCCAGCTGTTAATAATCTAAAGTCATAATTTAGCTATTCCCATGAGCATTCATGTTTTTTTTCTTTCTTTTCTTTTGATGGTGCAGTCACAGGTTTGTTGAAAAGGATGAATGGAATTGTCAGAAATCAAGCGGCCCGTGCTAAGAGGAGGTAGAGAACTGGCTAGTGACTCTCAGAGCAAGGGGTGCTTTATTCCAGTCCTTCTCTGGGCCTGCGGGGGCTCCGTGCAGTTATTCGAAAGACCGAGGCTCTGTAAAGCAGCCGGCTGCCGTTCAGCACTTGTCCAGGTCACAGGTGGGGATTTGCACTTGACATTCAACACCTGCTCATTTGAGCCAGGCAGAATGCAGAGGGGAAAGATCCCTAATTAAGACAGGCCTGGCAAAAGTGTAGAACACAAGTCTTGAAAAGGATCCTGCCTAGGGCTGTCAGCTGGCCACAACTGGCTTTTGTTTCAAAGCTTCTAGGCAAAGGCCCTGAAAGCTTGCTTCAGAGTGTGAGGACCTATGAGAAGAAGACTTGGCAGGCTGCCTGGTATGGGCTAGGATTCAGCGATGCCCGGTGTTGGGGTAGTGGTTGGAAGGTTCCTTGATTGCCCAGGCAGCCTGGGATAGTCTTGAAGGCCAGTTTTTGCTTCTGCTTGTGAAAGAAAGAGTAGCTTGCGGCGTGTGCTTGGAGACCTGTCACTCCCCACCAGTGGACAGAAAAGATGGACCATGGGAGCTGAAGGAGGACCGAGGGAGCTGGCCTTACAGTGCTTTGCTCTTCTCAGCCATGAACTTCCCTGGGCTGGGCGCATCTCGCAGTCAGGAGCTCATTCTCCAGTGTATCCTAGCCTCCTGCTGCTTCCTGACAGTTCCCAATAGCAGTTCAAGTTCATCTTCTCTATGCCAATGGGAAGTGAGGCCAGTCTCGGCACTATACTTAGGGATTTTTTTTTTTTTAAACATCAAAGATGTGTGTGCCCTTAGACTGTCTAAAGTGAAGGTTGGAAGACAAAAGTGGTCACATGAATAAGCTCATTGTTCAATTTCTTAGCTATTTGGAGGGAACTTTGCAAACCCCTTTCTCTGGGTCGTCAGGTTGGCAATTGATGGGAGTAGATTGTGTGTAGGGAGCTTCTCATTAGAGCTGTGTAGGCTTCTTGTACCCTTTGCAACTGTGGACTGGAAGAGAAGGAGCTGTCTCGTTGAGTTGTTTTGGAGAACATTCCTCTTGATACCCAGCAGTCATTCCTAGTTTTTTGAGGCCAGTGTTTGTTCACAAGGTACGGCTTTGGATGAAGGAGTAGTTCTGTCTTGCAAAGACAGGAACTGCACAGTGAGTTTGATTTTAAAATACTTTAAAGAGTCAATGCCAGGGAAGGTTTGTGTGTGTGTGTGTATGTGTGTGTGTGTGTGTGTGTGTGTGTGTGTCTGTCTGTCTGCTGGTGTGTTCAATACACACATAATTTCTGTCTATACTCAGTCTGTTGATTCCTCTGTAGTCATTAAGTTGGAACAGAGGACAGTAAGGCAATTTTCCAACTATTTCTAGTTAAGCTTCTGGATTTCTTTTCTTTTTCCTTAAATCTTGATAATATTTTAAAGTATAAATCTGGTTATGGTCATAAATATGAATAGCTTGTATAAATATCTTTCTTATAGGTTTTTTTTCCGTTATTTTTATTCTGGTTAATTGCCCAAAGCTTCATCCATCCCCAAAGCTTTTAAATTGTATTTTTATTATTAATATTATTATTAAATTAATGGGCATTGTTTGTAAATTTAAAAAAAATTAATGTTTTATTTAAGTGCCATGCTGAACAGTCATGCTCGCTATGTGGCAACCAAAACTTACGAGATTTCGATCAATTTTGATCCACGTGTAGTGTAGTGATCCGAAGCATGTACTGTGTACAGATGTGATAACAGGGCTGTTAGCCAAGTACGGTGGCTGCCGAGGCCTTTAAATTCAGCTCAGCTCTGCATTTCATTACGGCTGCTGTCATGCCCTCTATCTGACAAGCACACATTTTTGGTACGGAGAGTCGTATATGCCAATATTCTCATATAGGACAGTTCTACCAAAAAAAAAAAAAAAAGAAGAAGAAGAAGAAGAAGAAGAAGAAGAAGAAAAAGAAAAGAGTTGTTTAGCCAGTGCCCAAAGAAAATGTTTTGAGGAAGATGACTCAGCCTTTTTCAGCCAGACACGTCAGTAACTCCCATTGCCCGGCTCGGAGCCTTCTTGGAATGCTCGTGGGCTGCTGGTAGACTATGTGTTTTGCAAAATGAAGCTGGAGTGGAAAGCGAGGACAGTTTGAGTGGATGAAACTATTCTCTGAGGATCTGGGGAGGGAAGACTTAAGATGGACGTGAAAGGAAGAGAAAGACGGGAGGGAAACAGGTGAGGATACCTTGAGGGTGGGAGAGAGTTTTACGTGAGGAAAAGTGTTTTTAGGTATGTGCTATTTCCAGCCGGGAGTCACAAACCCAGTGGCCTAAAGGCAGGGAAATAAATACAAAGGGGAGGCTGGTGGGGACTGTGTGTACCTTAAAGGAGGCGCTATGGCTCAGCTCCAGGCAGGGAAAGAAAGGGCGGGGCCAAGAGTGTTCATTTCTACTTTATCTCTCAGAGTTAAGCTTTGGTATAGAAATAACAGCAGAAAAAAAAGATTAACACAGCCGCAGATAACATTTATCCCCAGTTCCTAGGGCCCCCATGCAAGCCTGGCTCTCCAGTTAGAATCCCAACTAAAACATTTGGGGCTATTTCTGGATTTTTTTTTTTTTTTTTCTGGTGATTTGAGGTCAACCTCTTAGCCTGGCTGGAGTTTGCAGATGAGTAATGAGAAGAACTGCAGAATAACTTCTTTCTTTGTATTTGGTTCCTATATAAAGATTATTATTATTATTTATTATTATTATCCTTGGTAACTAGCCCAGAATAGGAAGCACAATGTTGACTGGAGGCATTAAACACCAGCAAAACCAAAACAAGAGCAATAGCCAGTGTTCTCTCTTTGGGCCAAATTCCATGGATTCGTACTATCCCCACCTCTAAGAACACTGGCCGACTTGACTCCCAACATTCTTATACTTTTCTGACTCAGTGCCTCCACCACAGTTAACACTAGCTGAGCCTTCTCCAAAGCATCTTTTGCTACCCGCTGGAGGAAGTAATGTTTTCCACAGAACTGGGCTTCCTGGCTTTGACCTTGACGAAGAGGTTTTTTTTTTTTTTGTTTTTTTTTCCCCCATATTTACACAAAGGAAAAATTCCTCTCATGGTGGAGAAAATAGACCTCACCCAGATTTCTAACACCCCCAAGAAGGAAACTGGTTCAGTGTTACCACTGTGGCGCGTGTTAGTTTTTTTTAATTGCTTCTCTGTAACTTAGACCTATCTATGTTTTTAACGGCACACGGTGGGGTGGGAATAGTGCTAGTGTATGTCAAGAGAGGGTGGTAAATTCCAGGTCGTGTGCACAGAGAAAATCGCCTTAAGACCTGCAGCTAACTCATATGTAATCTGGAAGTATTAGATACCCAGGAATATTTCAGTGCCTTTTTGCAATAACAGAAAAGAAAAAGGTGTCTTGACTTGAAGCATTCCAGCATTGGCTGTTTTCAATGTGCCTTCTGACCCCAACTGAACACTGGGATACGGTTTGGGAGTCGATGTTACAGCCTAAGTGTGTTCCACTAAAAGAGACCAAAGAGTTAATCAGACCTGGTTAGCTGCTATAACAACTGTGTGATTAAGGATGTCTTAATCACGCAGTCTCCATGGCCCTGGTGGTCAAGGCCTGTCGCTCCTCTTCATGTGAAGTGGAGTGAATTTGCACTTTTGATCCTGTGGGCCGCTAGGGGACCTTGTTCTTTCCCATTTTGCTGTATCAATAAAGGAACTTGTGGAAACCTCCGGACTGTGTGTGTGGGCTTTGGGGATCCCAGGGGGAGGATGCTGGTGCCTGGGCCTGCACTTGGCTTGAACTTCTTTGCACAAACCTCAGTTGCTCACCCCTCACCCCGTGTGTGTGTGTGTGTGTGTGTGTGTGTGTGTGTGTGTGTCTGTGTGTGTTCTGGAGGTTTAAACTCATGTCCTCCTGCTTGCGTGACAATCACATTACCAGCTAAGTCACCTTAGGCTTTTCTGGAGCTCTGTCTCAAGATCCTGCTGGAGAGAATTGTTTGCCCAGGCGGCAGAAAATGGCCTGCAGGGTGCAGCCTGGATTCTGTCTTCCCATTCTCTCCCTGCCTGAAACTCTCTGCCCTGCCCCTCTTCTCTGCCCCAACCAGCTCCCTCCATCACAATTCAAGTATTGGCATGTGGCTAATTCATAATTCAAACATTTTGCCCAGAAAGTGCCTGGGCCCTTGTGTCCTCTTGACATGGTTAACTGCTAACATTGAAAAACACCAGGCTTAGCCTGAAATAGAATCTTGGAGACCGTGCTGGGTGGTTGATGTCTCAGCCAGGTAGGCCTCAAGGAAAGGTGCAGCTACAGCTGACGAAATGCTAGTGTGTTAAGGCTTGGGGCAAGTTGATGAGTATGTTTTATTTGGTTTTCAATTAAAGTCCCAGGGCACTGAAGACAGAACAGAGATGGCAAAGACACATACCGCCTCTTCCAATTTTACAGAAAATTAAGCTGTGGGGCACTAGGGTACTGGACAGGAGAGGCAGTAAAACTCATAAGAGAGACACCTCCAAGGGCATAGGGATTTCTAGGAGGAGGTGGCATCTAAGTAGCAATCTAAAGACAGGTAGGAATTAGCCAAGCCAAGGAAGCTGAGCTGTAGAAAACTATATCAAGCACCACCCTGCGAGGGAACTGTGTGGCAGAGAAAAACGGGCCACTTAATAGTCCCCAGGAAGCGATGAGAGGAAGGAGCCAGGGTCCCAACATCTGCTCTCAGTGACCTGGCCTGCTTCACCTGCGGCCCAACTGCCAAAGGCTCTCCCATCTCCCAATAGCACCACAGCCTAAGGACCAAGCTTCTGCCATAGGGACTTAGGGAGATGTTAAAACCCAAGCCAACCCAGAATTATGTGGAGGAAAAGGTGTGGGTTAGAAACACATCTTTGGCTACAGCTTATAAAAGCCTGACCTACAATGACATTAACAAATAAGGATTTCAAACCCCACCCCCTCTAGAAGCTTTGGATGTAAAGGTCCCAGAGTTGAGGGATGATTCTGGACTGGGGCATCTCTTTGCTTTCACTTTCCAGACAGCTTTGCTCTTATTATTCTTCATGCAGTGTATGTCAGGGTTCCACAGTGACCATTGTCTCCTATAGCTACCTGAGAGAGAACAGACAATGGAAAGCGAAGGATTTCTCACTTGCTTCCTATAGGATGGAAACTTGTCACATGACAAAATATTTTCAAGGGATGCTGGGAAAGAGCCTAGGGCATGGCTTTGAGCAGCCCTGAGAGAAATAGGAAGGGCAAATGTGTATTCTCGGAAAAAATCAGCCTGCCATAGAATCTGCCAAAAACAAAATCAGCCCTAGAAACAAATTCCAAGAGAGTCTACCAAAAAAGGGAGCAGTAGGGGCTGGAGAGATGGCTCAGTGGTTAAGAGCACTGTCTGCTCTTCCAAAGGACTCAGGTTCAATTCTCAGCACCCACATGGCAGCTCACAACTACCTGTAATGCCCATTCTAATAGATCTGACACCTTCACACCAATGTGCATAAAATAAAGTTTTAAAAATATTTTTAAAAAAAGAAGAAGAAAAAGGAGCAGTAGAGGACTTACCATTTCATACCTACTGGATTTAGACTGTCCTAAATTAGCATGCAATAAACTCCAAAGGTGTGTCTGGTCTCAGGGTCACTGTTTACTGATGCTGTTGCTGATTTTGTTAAGAGAGTGAGAACCCATCCTTGATAAGGGCGCTGGAAGACTTCGGGACTAACACATGTACATAGGGAAGTGGGGACCAGATGGGAGTTATCTGCCCCTAAGATCTGCACACCACATTTTTGGAATAAGGAGGGGGTGAGCAGATAATAGGCAGTCTCCCTCAAGCACTCAGCCCACTGTCTCTCCGTCACCAAACTTTCTTCCCTGTGAGACTAGGGCTGACTTTGCAGTTTTGAGCATTTGGTGTAGCTCTCCCTTAGAGGTTCACCCAGTTAGATGTTTGTCCACGGTCACTTCCTTCTTCCGTGGTGCCTTATCTTACCAAATGTCCTCCAGTTGTTTTCCTTACTAGCATTCCAGGCACTGTTCTCAGGTTCCCAGTGGTCTCAGTCCTGGCTTTCTTGGAACACACGAGGGACTTTGCGGAGATACCCAAGATTGGGGTCCTACTCTACACCAGTGAGAGCAGAACTTCAGAGAGTGCAGCCCAAGCAAGGACAGAACCACATGGATGAATTTAGAGTCGTTAACCACTGACTTCTGTCTGGTGGCCCTTCCAGAACCTTCTGCTGTGACCTCAACATCAGGAATTATGGAACAAGCTGGTGTTTGTCACATCTGCTTCCTGGCAGAGACAGAAAGGTGAAGGGTCAGGAGCAGAGGTGATGATGGAAAGAACTCGTAGGTTGAGAAACTCAGGTTAAGCATCATTTCTGAGCAGGCATGGGGCTCAATTTTGCAGGCACTTCCCTTTCTCCAACCCCAGGAAGACAGGAGACAATTTGATCAAGATGTTGGAGTCACGATGAAACTTCTCCAGAGAAAGAAAGACACTGCCATCCTTTTATAATCTACCGTTCAGGAGAGAGCATCCGCCAGAGGCTGATGTTGCTTTCTGTCACTCTGACAGAACACCAGACAGAAGGAACAGACTGTTTTGGCACAGCTTTAGAGGGTTCAGCCCATGGACAGTTGACTCCATTGCTACTGAACTCATTTGCCATTGGGGAACAAGGGAGAGACAGGGCTGAGATTCCCTTCAACGGTGGCCTAACTTCTTCCCACTAGGCCTGACTGTCTAATGGTCCAACCCCCTGCCCCCACTCCAGTTGCACCGTGGCCTTGGAACCAAGCCTTTGACACATGGCCTTCAGGGAGAGGCATTCACGGTTCAAAGCAAAGCAGCCATATCCTGTCTTCACAGAATATTGGCTCTTCCCAGGAACATCCAAAGGTTTTATCCAGGTGTGCATGCACAGGTCCCAGGCGTGTGGAGGTGGATGTCGGCGTGCCTGCATTTTTGTGCACATGCATGTAGCTGTTAGAGGTTTTCCTCAGGTGTAACTCTTCAGGCTCCGTCTACCACGTGTTTTTTGTTTGTTTGTTTGTTTGTTTGTTTGTTTGTTTGTTTGTTTTTAACATGGTCTCTCACAGTGGCCTGGAACTCACAGAGTTGGCTGAACTGACTGTCCACCAGGTCCCTGGAATCCATCCGCCTGTCTCCACCTCCCCAAGACTGACATCACAAGTATGCAGGACCACGTTTGGCTTTTTAACATGGGTCCTGGTGACAGAACTCAGGTTTTTACCAACAGAACTATCTTCCCAGCGCCTAGCCACTGTTTAATCTTAGTCTCTGTCTCTAACCCTTCCTTAGATGTAGTGACTCTGAGCTGGCCCTGACGAAGAAATTCAAATCCATTGAGTCACCCGCCACTGAAGCTGGGGGAAAAGATCCCCCTTTTCAGACCCGACTGAAAGCTTTTTTTTTTTTAAAGACAGGATTTCTCTGTGTAGTCCTGGCTCTCCTGGACTTGCTTTGTAGGCCAGGCTGGCCTCAAACTCACAGAGATCCACCTGCCTCTGCCTCCTTGAGTGCTGGGATCACAGGCATTTGCCACCCCACCAGGCAGACTGAAAACTTTTGAGGACCTATTCTCTTGAATTATATATATTTGTCTTCATGGTTTATTTAATTATTGGACACTTCAAATTAGGAGCTAAGCCTCTAAAGAGTTGCTGTCTATCCCTTATCAGAATGAAAGCATCAAAACATTTCAGCTGCCATATGCTGGCAATGAGTGGCCTTTTGGATCTTACGGGGCAAGAGGCTGCAGGCTGAAGGCACTGTCTCACATCTCTCAGGTGTCACACGGTCAAGGGCTGTGCGATTCCACATTTTTTTTTTAAAATAAATACAGTCAACTTTACATATCCATGGCTTGCGCATCTGTGTGTCCAACCTTCCACAGATTAATGATTCAGAGGAAAAGCAAAAACTGAGCCTACTGAGTTGGCTCAGTAGTAACAGCACTTGCCCAGAAAGCCTGATGGGAACTGACTCCTAAAAGTTGCCCTCTGATCTTCACATATACACCGTGACATGTTCATAACCTTCCCCCCACCCCCACACACACATTACACATACAATAATAATACATTTAAACATTATATTGGGGGCTGGCAAGATGGCTCACCTGATATAAGGGTGCTTCCAAGCTAAGCTGACCCCTGGAACCCAGAAGGCGCTGTCTTCTGAATGTCATTCTCTGACTTTCACATGTGTGCCGTGGCACATGTGGATTTAAAGAACATGGGAGACTTTCATAGTTTTTGGAGAAAAGACCTCACTCTGTAACTCCAGCTCACCTGAAACTCCATCTCCGAATCGTCAGGATTACAGGCGGGAGCCACAGTGTCTGTTCTGTTTGTTGTTTGTTTGTTTGTTTGTTTGTTTGTTTGTTTTCCTCTGCCATTGTGTACAGAAGACCTGAGCATCCATGCTTTTGGTTGGGTGGGACTTGGAGTAGGACTTAAGAGCTGATACCTCGGGAGCACTGAGGTACTATTTGACCTGGTTTTCAGAAGCCATCTTGTTAGTAGTGATCTCTTCTTTCCAAGTCTTCAGAGAGCATCGAGACTTCCTCTCTGTATTCACAGACACATGAAGCTGGCCTAGGAGTCTGAGCCCTCTCCATGCAGAGGGCCTTCCACATGCTCACTAGCTATGAGTAACCTTCCACTTCCCAGTCCCCCTGCAGGTGTGCAGG